AATGAAACATACATTTTGAGTTTCATCATCTCTATTCAAAGCTATTTTATCTTGCATGGATACTTTAAAAAATATTTCTGGAGATGATTATGTTGACTTTAGATCTATTTATAACAATCCTTGTTATGGTAAGATAACTAATAGATGAAGGCTCTCGGTTAGTGGATGCATACTGTTGAGGAGTCCCACAATAGGACGAAACAGCCGTTTAATGCTTCCAGGTCTTCGTTGATGGTCTAACATCAATCGGTTCATGATCTCAATAAAAAAAACATAATTAATAGGTAGTCATGCTTTTTAAAAAAATACAAGTTGAACAAAAATTGCTTCTTTTCATTTAGTTTCTTTTTTTTTTACTTTTGAGTCTCATAGTCAACATCAACTCTGACATCCAAATATATTCAGCTGACGAGTCACAAATAGGACAAAATGCGCGTCCAACATTTCACTACTAGCCATTAACCATATTTGCGTATTATGCTAATATACATGAGTTGATTAACAATATAGTAACTAATAGGCTAAGAAGTTTATTCTTCCAACTCAGTTGATCAAATGACAATCTTCTTATTTATGCCTGTTACCCCTGATGGAGGAGTATAGAACATTTACCACCACTTGGTTTGATAAGATTTTCTAAATTAGACTCAGAAAATTTTTCACTTATCCTAATTTTAATTTATTAATTGTCAAGATAATGTGTTTTGTGAAATCAACAGATCCTGAATTTGTATCTCATAAGTTAGGATTATGGATGTGCACTATTGAGGAGTCTCACAATGGGACGAAACAATCATCTAATACTTCCAAGTTTTCTATGGTGGTCTACCTTCAATTATTTCATGATCTTAACTCTTGAAATAATGAAATATCAATAGGTAATTTCAATTACTCATGTGATTTAGTTAAAGATTTTAATTTATTAGAATGAAATTTTTTTTTTTTAGAAAACTGTAAATTCTATGCAACAGACAAACAAACAAACAAACAAAAAAAAACGTTATTATGTTTATATTTTCTTTTACAAACTGTTACCATAGCAACATTCCCTAATGATATCATGCTGTTATGCTTACAGACTAGTATAGATTACCCATGTTCCATTGATTTGTAACTATGTATGTGTAGATTACACGATGTTTACACTGTGTTGTTATTATTGTTTACAGTTAGTAATAAATATTTAACATTAACTTTGTCTTTATGTAAAGATTTAAATGATTGTATATAGGTGATTAAATAACATTTGTATGTGGATTATGAATAAGTAGTAGAATTCAGATTGTGAGTTTCATCTTATTTAGGACTCATCAGATGGATGTACCTGTATCCTAAAGTTGATATTCACTTTAAGACTTAAATCTAATAATGTTTGCTTCAAACTATATTGTGTAATTCACTTAGTTACTATGTTCTGATAGTCAGTTGTTTGTACAATAGGATGAATATGTAGATAGAATTTCAATAAAACATACTTTCATTGATTAAGATCATGAGTTGGTTGAAGCTAAACCACCATGGAAAGCCTGGAAGCACTGGACGGCCGTTTCGTCCTATTATGAGACTCCTCAGCAGTGCGCATCCACGACCTCGCCCCCTGCGAGATTCGAACCCAGGTCCTACTGGCTTCGCGCGCGAGCACTTAACCACTAGACCACTGAGCCGGCATCCAACGGTGTTAATGTCTAACTTCAACTAATCCACGAAATTGAGCGACACATTCACCATTGTCTTCAGTGAGTTTCTATCCCACAACAGACCTGGTTTGAACTCCACTGGTCACTACTTCTCACTAGAACTCCAGGATATACCTCTTGAAGCCAGTCACTAATGAGCATATGTTGATTATTATCAGAAGGGGTTTTGTGGAGATTGTAGTAATTTCGGTTGAAGCTAGACCACCATGATAGGACGAAACGGCCGTCCAGTGCTTCCAGGTTTTCCATGGTGGTCTAGCTTCAACCGACTCATGATCTTAATCAATGAAATTACTACAATCTCCACAAAACCCCTTCTGATAATAAAACATACATTTATATCATAACTGATAGTTTGTATTCAGGAGTTGATTCTAAAACATGAAAAGATTTCATTTCAAATTGTAGATGAAGCTATTGGTCATATAATTTACGTTTGATGTAAACTAAGAACATTTAAGCGCATAAAAGCATTACACTTAAAAGTTTGATATCACAACTGGTCGACTAGGATGAAAAAAACCGCGACTATTAGGTCTATGTGAGAGATAAAACCCGACTTATGCGTCGTTGTTGTGCCTCCTAGATAATGGGATTCAGTCTCATGAACGAAAGTCAGCCTTGACACAGGTGGTAGAGATCAGGCTAACCACCCACTCGACCGATAACCACAAATTGATTACAAAACCCACAAAGAATCATAGCACAATTATTCCTGGAACAAAAAACGACAAATAATTCACAAAAATGGTGCACGTAATGTACTAGGTTGCTCCCTATGTGACAGAATCCAACCGATTGCAAAAATAGTTGTTCTAGCCATGGTACTTGTTCCGTGCTTTGATGTGGCCTGTTTCTCTCCAGAAAAGCCTACTAGGTCTGTGCGTGAAATTAAAATATCGAGCATACGAAGCAGTAGGAATACTTTTGTGATGTCTTTATCTTCGATTAATTATATCATGTGATACTGTGGTATGTGCTACTGATATCGACAGATATAAGCAGTATGTATCATCAATCGAAAATGAAACGCCTGGCGGCAGAAGGTTAAGAAGGTTGAAGTGCAGAGAACAAGGATAGAGAGTGATTGGTGTGAAAACACATAAACAATCAAGTATGAGACAATTTATGGATATTTTGCGAATGGAGTATTTACAGTACGGTTCTCAGATTTTTCTAAGATTTTCTGTAATTTTTTGTTGAAATACATTTGATTGTCCCCACCTGTGTGTTCTCGATCACTACAATTTTATGAAACAACTTCAAACTGTTGGGCGGCATATCGTTACACCATTGAAAACCTGGAATCATCGGGCGGCCGTTTCATCCTAGTATGGAACTCCTTAGCAATGCTCATCCACGATCCCGCCAGCGGGATTCGAATACAGAACCTTTGGTCTCAGGCGTGAACGCTTAACCTCTAGACCGCTTAGCCGCCCGGCATCCGACGGTGTTAATGTCTATATTACTAAAGAACTCTAGGGTACTTATATCTTACAGTTTGTGGATTTTGATGGGGTTTTGTTCTTTGAGCTGAATGATATGTACTGATGATGCCGTTCAGTATAACAACAAAAGCTCCATGATGAAACCATTCAGCTCAGAGAATAAAACTCCATCAAAATCATCCACCTGAGTTAAAGCAAATCGAATTTTTTAAAAATACAACTAAAGAGTTATTTACCATGTGAAATATGTTAATTACATATTTGCCAATGTACTGCATTACGAGAGTAACTGTATTATTGAAAAACCACAGGTTGTTTGACTCTTTTTAACCTTCTACCACCAGACATTTCATTTTCGATTGATGACACATACTACTTATGTCTGTCGAAATCAGTAGTACACACCACAACATATCATGACATCATTGATTAATCAACCTGATACAAATATTTAGAGTTGACTATTTTGTTGTGTTTTGACTGACTCAAATATCAAATCATTCATTATGTTGTATAACCCAACTAGTATTGCTCCTGATAAATATTTAATTGAAGGATGATAAAGAGGTTTTGTAGTTCAGAATGATGGTTTTACTGATTGTATGTTCTTTGATCTGTGTAGTTAAATCATATACCGTTCAATGAGTAGACAATATTATAAACAAAGACTTTAGATAGAAGTATACTATCGGTATTCCTTCTCTACTAACCAGCATTAGTGTATCTTCGATCATGCCAATACATTGAGACAATTACGAGCAAATGTTTGTACTTGGTTTGAAGCTATCACAAGTTCACTTAATCTAAGAACCAAAGATCAATAAGCTAGATATTCTGATGTGTCCCATCCCCGCTAACAGTTTGACTTGAGAAACATGAAAATCTAAGAAAGAATGAAACAAAGAAACCGAAGGTCCTAGGCTCGAGTCCCTTATATAATATTTATACTCGACAAAGATATGAAGTAAAAGTTGAACTGATACAATTTTTATCAAAAACATAAACCAATTTAAATTAGATCATCGTTGAAATCACGGATGCACTAGATGGCAGTTTTGTCTTAGTATAAAACTCCTGAACAATGAACATCCACGATCCAGGATGCGGAACTCTTTCGAAACTGAATTTTATAAGTTCAAGTCAGTTACATAGTAATGAACTAATTTAAATTAAACCATCGTTAAAAATACTGTTTCATCTTTATATGAAACTCTTGATCAATAAACATCCACAATCCTATATGTGGGACACGGAGCTGATCGAAAATTCTAGGTTCAATTCCATCATGCCAGTTCATTGTTTAGAAATCTCATACTGCTTCCAGATTTTCAATAATGATCTAATTTACATTAGTTCATCTTTTCAGATCATTATCATATATCAATACAATAGAATATAATTAGTATTGACTCATATAATGTAATATCTATCAACTAATTATACCTATTGCAATAAATGAAAAGAAAAAGAAAAGAAAAAGAAGAAAAAAAGAAAAAAAAAGAAAAGAAGATTATACATTAATCTTTTTATAGACAATAACATTTCATTATAACCAACAACAAACAAATACTTTTCACATTAATCATACAATATTATTAATATTGACATTATCAGTAGTCTATTTAATTGTATATGATCATATATATATATATATATATATATATATATATACGTCACCTTATACAATTTGATGAATAAATTGTTACTACCTAGCAACTAATTTGCATGTTGCTATGCCATTTTTTAAAGTTTAATCGAATTATTAATTAATAAATTATTATGTTCTATCTAATCACATGACAATGGATCAATAATAAGTAATAAGTATAAGACTACATATATATATATATATATTAAAGCTGAAAATACATGTCATTAGTAGTAATATTTATTATTATAAATATTATTAAATATAATATTATTAGTTTAAGTTAAAAATGAGAAGGAATTACACAATATTATATATTTATATCATACTATTTATATTATTTAAAGAGATTCATGCTAGCGGAAGTAAGTTATTCTATAATGTTTACACTTTGTTGTATGATTACAGAATATAAGTCGATATTTACTTACTTACTTACTTAGTAACTAATGAAAGTTACTCCTAATGGAGGATAGGCTACCGATCAACATTCTCTAATCCACACTGTCTTGGGTCTTCCTTCCGAATTCTATTCAATTGTTGTTGTTCATTTATTTTCATATCTGTTAACATTTCGTGGAGTAATGTGTTGTTTGATTTTTCAAATGAGAACTTACTTTGTGACATAGTTGAGCGCTTTCCTTAATGTGTATTCTATCCACTTATAGTGTTTCTTAATGATTTCTTTATCTGTTAGAATCTAGTTTTTGTTCTCTTCCTGTTATAACTTGTGACATGAGTGTCTTGTTAATGTATAACGTGACGATGATCCGCCAATTAAAGAGTAGTGATTTATCAATCGGATCAATGATGCATAAAACAAGTACGAACACTTTAGATTCTTTGTCGGTTCTGCTTCATGCCTAGTCCAGTTAGTTAAGTCCAGAACATTAATCTCAGCTTCTGCGATATGAATCAAGTATTTGAAACATACTGGGTTTATATATCAACGTGACATACAACATCGTACCAATAAACTAGGAAACAACATTTGTACAAAATGTAACGAAATGTGGCTGTGAATGAGGCAGATAGTAATTGATAGATAGGGCATAATTCAACAATGGTAAATCGTATAATAATAGTTCACAGGTCAAAATAAAGCTTGTGATAAGAGGGACATGAATATGCAGATAGTTAAGTTACTTAACAACGATACTATAAAAATATACACTTAGTATTGGTCCATAAATGGATCCCAAGAGTTATCATTCATTACTCTTATCGGGACATAACACTCTCACAGTAGTTTGTTGCTGATTGTGTCTGGTGTAGACAACTGTTAACAAACACTTGTATCTTCTGGATGATGGCTTTCGTAGTTCACCAAGTTTCTGTCCCATATAGTAGAACTGTCTTAATATTTGTATTGAAAATTCTGACTTTGATGTTGGTTGCCAATTGTTTTGAGTTTCAGATGTTCTTCAGTTATAGATATACTGCTTTGCATCAGATCCACCGTGCTCATTAAAGTAGATATTTGGTAGATGGATATCTAAATTCCACTTCATTGTTTCCATTTGCTTAGAAATATCGCATTATTGATATTGACGACTAAATCCTGAATGAAGCTAACGGTTGAATGGATTCCAGTCTGATCATTATTAAGATGTAGACACAATTGTTTGACGAGTGCTAGACAGGGCGAAATATGTGCATCATATTCCACAACTCGTAAACATAATTTAATCCATTGTTTTTGGATAGTGCATGAAGTAGGTTAAAAAGGTTTTATATGTAAAGGAACAGGTATTAAGTATCATCAGTATGGGGTTGTGAAGATTGTTAGGCTTGTGATTGAAATCATAGATATTAGATGAAACAGCCGTTCATTCTTTCCAGGTTTTCAATGACGATCTAAGATTCATTGATTCATGATCTCAATCAGATAATAAAGAGATTAAAATGTGAATACTGTTTCTTTGTATAATGTCGACTAGTTACTTACATTCTGTACAGTTTACACCGAACACACTTTCTTACTGAGATTATATCACTTGAGCTTTAATTGTAATGGAGTTAAATAGTGTTCTATGTAAATGTATATTATTATTGTTATTGGCACAATCATCTTTTTGGATTATTTGTTTTCTGGTTGGCAGTTTTTTAGTGATTTAGTTTTCTACAGTATGAGGTTGCTAACTCCATACTCAACCCTCCTCCTTTATCCGGGCTTGGGATGGGCAGCAGCCCTAGAGGGGCTCCAAGCGGAGTTACAGTCATCTTTACATGTAATGATATTAACATACTGTATTGATGAGGAACTTAATTACAAGAATATAGTGGCATGAGGAACTGTGTTATTTTTGGAGTAAATTTATTGCAATCAAAGTAGCTTTCCTTTTGATATAGCTTCAGGGAATAATTCCTATTTATCAGAAAAATGAATTTGAAGCTAGACCACCATGGAAAACCTGGAAGCATTGGACGACCGTTTTATCCTATTGTGGGACTTTTCAGTAGTGCGCATCCACAATCACAATTTGAGAGATTCGAACCCAGGATCTATCGGTCCCACACGCGAACGCTTAACCTCTAATTTTCTTTCAGCGACGATCTCCGGATACAAAGAGACACTGTTATGAACTATTGTTCTTTACTATATTTCATATAAAATATAGTTCTGTTTATTATTTTTAATGGTTATGTTTAATATTAAGACATTTATAGTCCTGAATAAAAACCAGTGACCAGATGATCAAGTTCTCACCTGGTAACAACCCCAGTGATTATTATCTGGAATGCTTATAGGCTAATTGGAAAAAATGCTGAGTTGTAAACGTCGTCTTAGCATGTAATAGGTGACAAATAATTGGATTCGCACTGCCGAGGAGTCCCACAATAGGACGAAACGGCTGTCCAGTGCTTCTAGGTTTCCAACGGCTCTTTAACATCAATCGTTTCATGATCTCAATCAAGAATATAATACAATATGACTATGAATTACATTCGACAGTTCAACCGAGTTTGTTGTGAGATAGTACTTTACTGAAGACAATGGTCAGCGGTGTCTTAATTTCGTAGATTGGTTTAAGTCAGAAATTAACACCGTTGGAAGCCGGCCAGCTCAGTGGTCCAGTGTGTAATCGCTCGCGTTCGAGACTGATAGGTCCTAGGTTCAAACCACGCAAGATGGGATAGTGGATGCGCGCTTCTGAAGAGTACCACAATAGGACGAAACACCCATCCAGCTCTTCCAAGTTTCCTATGGTGATCTAGCTTCAATTGACTTATGATATCAACTATTGAAATAACATGTGATGAATTGTGAAGCACAGATTGATACTATTAAAACACATCTTCGTCAACAGTTAGTTCATTATTCTACTAGCATGTTCTAACTTTGAGTAGTTTATCCCTTGTTACATCAGATGCAAATGATATAATACAATATATTTAATGAATCCTTTCAGTAGTCAAGTATATCGCAAACATTACGTAACATAACTTGAAATGACAAAAAAAATATTGTTGACCTTTGGTTTACATTGACTCTTATTGTATTTCATAGACATTAATCAATCTTTTAAATCTTTATGTATTCTATTAAAGGACAACCAAGTAAGTTTGTTATTATTTTTGTTAGTACCTTTGATGTAATTGAATGGATAATAGTGTGTTATTGTTTATTTATTTAAACATATAAACAATGGCACAAGGAAGTACCGAATAGATATGTGCCACTTAAATCATACAATTTGTGTGAGGATTGAAATACTTCCCGGGTGCCCAAAACAAACCAGTTGGTTTTCTTAATAGAGCCAACATCCGGAAGTTCCATCTCAAAGGTCTGATCCACAAGTTAGTGGAACAACGTCAAAAGATTCACTCCCATGATAGGCGGTGACCAACAATAGGATCCTGGAGCTCATGTACATCATCGGTTTAGAATCAGTATTTATCAACTCACCGTATCTACCAACCCAGTTAAAGCAGCAGACATTCGTTTTTTTCCTTCTCGTTCCCACCCGCCGCGCGAAGGTAGTGAATAGGATGCATGCACGTGGCCATGTGAGAGGAAGAGCTGACTTTGCCCACTCTCGGCCTTGCCAGAGCATTTTGGGGTGTATTTTTAATGTTCAGTTTACGTTTATTTTACCTTTGAAAGGATTATTCATTCATTGTAAACACTAACGAATGGAGCTTTAAGAGAGGTAATGATGGGACTATAATTTATGTACGATCTTTGAGCAACGTTTAAGCGACCTTGAGATTATCTACCTACTTATTAAATCTAAATGATGGCTATGAACCTATGTGAACAATAAAGATTATGATTTACAGTTGATGGTTATGGTTAGAGATTAGATTTAGGATTTGCATTACGAACCATCATCAATTAAAATGCCGAAATGCTATTTAGTCATAATGATTGAATGAATTTCGGGCCGAAATCAAAGACATGTTATCTTAAATCTGATTGGTTCGTCCATAAATCATAGTTTCGCCGACATCGATGATTTAGGAATCTCAGAATGTAGATAACAGGTAAATTAAGATGGATACTTCTCAATAATCCAAAGCGCTATGTTATTATGTTAAGCTATATTAAGGTAGTCAGTTTAGTTTCAACTAATTATGAAGCAGGAGTTCTATACTAAGACAAAACAACTGTTGAATACATTTTTTTGCAGTGATAATCTAACTAAAATCAGTCCATGATATGAACTATCAGTTGAATAGTCTCCATAAATTTATACTATGATGTTGTTAAGATTGAATCTATGCATGTTTACCACTAAGAAATTACCTAGTAGCTTTGTGTACAATCGCTAAATGATACAGAATCGCAATTAATGTAACACAACGTTCTGTCCTATGTATATAGTAATGTATTTTACTTAGTTACGGTTTCAGTTGTGTTTAGGTTGGTTAAGCCACATCGACTGAAGTCATTTGCCTTTTCTAGAAATGGGTTTCATTTAGCAAGGTTTACAAATCCATCAAGTGGATGTGAATCTGTAATGAAATTGTAACCTCCAAGTAATGACACGTGGGCGCTGAACCAGAGGCAAATCTAATCTACATACATACCGGTAACACATAAGTTTTCACCCATAGATTCCTTGGCATGCATATAAGTATACTCACCTTGGAAGAAAATATACGTTACATAAATAATGGTGACACTGTCACTTACACATTGCATGCATATCACTAGTACAAAGTCTTTCACCCGTGCACTTCATGACATACACATTAGCATAAGCACTCTCTCAGGGAGGGTTAACGGTTTCCTCTCTCTACTATTTGTTATCATATCTTTTTATTATCTTCAACCTGATGGTTTAGGCCGCTGACTTTATTAGACATAGGGCAGACATATTTTTCAAATCACGTATCCTATGAATATATATCTACGTACATAAACTACACGAGCCGAAACTCATACAGTTCATATACATAAGCATATACATCAGATAGCCAGCAAGAATATAATTAAGAACTCCGAAAGATGGAACCTACTTAATCTGATTTACAAAAGAGTGATGGATTAATCTAATCTCCAGTAACCGTCAAAGTTTCCTAGGGAGATTTTCCCTACTATTCAGTAGTTCCGCGAGAAAACTTTAGGCCAGATTTTTCTACCCCTACTCACTTACAACCGTAACCAGGTTGTTAACGATGAATGGACTGGATTAATGTAACCTGTAATTGATTCAGTGTATTTTGTTTATGTCAAATTTGAGTTTATTATGGTTCAGGCAACATGTTTAGTTCCATTTATGGTTATTCATAACATTTCCAGCTTAGTCTATACGGTATTCACATATGTAATTTGTTTTTAAAATGAATTGTTATAGAGTTTGTAAACGTAGATGAAGGTGAGCATTTTCTTCTGTTGTTAATTACATAAATCAGTTAATTAATTACTAAATATTTATAAGTTATGTCATGATAAAATCGTGGATATGTACTGCTGAAGAGTCTTATACTAGGACGAAACAGTTGTCCAGTACTTTTAGATTTTTCATGATAATCTAGCTTAGATCGACTTGTGAATTCAGTTGTGAACATACTACAAACCTTTTAAATCTTCGAACCTGTTTGTGTGTAAAAATGGTGATAAAGACGTCAGTTAGCCAGTCAGTCAGTCAGTCAGCTACAACATAGGACCAGGCACATATATGCATCGGTTCAAGTTGCCACACCTTATTAGCACAACAAGATGAACACCGGATTCATAGAAGTAGTCACTTCAATGGTAGTAATATATAAGTGGAAGATTGAATATAAGGACATAGTACAGCAAGAAAGAATGAGTACGTAGAAAGAAAGATATGAAGCGATTTTAATCTCTTAGTTTAAGAGAAGACAGAGAGTGCATACATCTACGCCATTGTGATCAAGTCTGAGCCATGTCACCAAAAATCTCCAACCATTGGTTAAAATAGTCATGTGGACCCCAACAGAGTAGTCTGAACTATATGTTTTCATACAATCTCTCAGTCAGTGGTCTTGAGTGATGTTAAACTTATGAAGGCGATTATTACTTCCCAGTCGCCCACCTCTGTACAGTCAGTAATATGACTTCACCCTCAAACCATGGGTTTACTGATTCTAGTCGAACCGTTCTTCACACAACCTGTCCGGCATGACAGGACCATGAGAAACAAATTTTTCAGCCAGTATAGCCCGATAGTTTCATCACGAGAGACATGCCCTTATGTTTCTTTTCTGTCAGTAGAATTCTACTTTCAATTCCCGTTACATACTACTTATATCTATCTGTATAAGTAGTACATATCACGATAAGCTTGTTATATATTGGTGTATATTGTTAGATTTGACTAAGTAATTTCATTTGTTTTATTATTACTTCAGATGGTAATCTAAGAGGTGAAACAAGAGATATTACGTAGGTTTCCAATTAATTATAATAATGATCAATTATATTTTTGTTTGTGTAGTATTTTCGATTGATGTTTAGGACTGCCATTGATCAGTCACTTATTAGTATATATGTATACTATGCGTATTGCCTCAATATTGCTTTCAATCACGAGCGGTGTAAGTAGAGATGTATGATGGTGGTTAACAATGAAATGTAAGACACATGTTTCGTTCCATTTCGGTACTTATCAGTTGGATGTACCTGCATCCCAGAGTTCTTTAGTCTTCTTCTCCTCAACTTTTAGCCTTGAATATGTATAGTTTATGACAAGTATGACAAGCATATGACTGCCGGCAGGATCAATCTGTTTATTCATAGTTATATAGTATACCCTTGTGTGCCAGGGCAATTTTACATTGCTCTTTTTGGAGAACCGGACACCATACAAACTTTCACATGACAAGGCATATGGGACGGCTCATTTCCGTTTAACAGGATAGCGAGACACCACCCAGGTTTAAATTTTATAACCCGAACAGTACAGCTCAATCCCTCTTCACAGGTGAACCAGACACCATATAGGCCTTAACGCTACAATCTGAATAATACAATTCAATTCTGTGACGCCACCTCACATGTACCAAGCACTCTGATGGATCATTCGCACCATTCATATACACATTCACGTCACATGTATAGTTATTCCGGTCATTGTACGACAAAATAGAAAACAACATTTGTACATGATCTAACTGAAATGTGGCTGTGAATGTAGACGACTGTAATGAATAGACTGAACGTAACTCAAGAACAGTACATCGTATAATAATAAACTATGGATCAAATGGAAGCTTATAATAAGAGGAACATGAATATGTAGATAGTTTAGTTACTTAACAATTATACAACAAAAATAATTGTACCGTACTAATCCAGAAATAGACCCTAACTAACAGTTACCATTCATTATTCTCATTAAGATATAATACAAATAACTTCTGAAGAGTAAACATAATGGAGTTACGAAACTTCATTGTTTATTTGTTTTTTTTCATATCCAACTTACTATTTATAAAACTGTATTAATGGATAATGGTCAATCAAATTTCATTTGTAGGTGTTGATGATTGATTTGCATAGAAACTAATTGTACACACAAAAAAAACATCATCATCATCATCATCATCATAAGATCCACAAGTGACTCGTCAATTCATAAAGTCAATCATCACCAATAGATAATACATGAAGAAAACCTACACAAGAATTTTGCAACAAAAAAAAAAACTAAAAAAATTTTTTTCTTTTTAAATTGTATCCAGGTGAAAGGAAACTAGACTAATTGAATGAAATATTATTTAGTAATAGAATGAAAATATAAATGACAGATAAGCATTAAAATATAGTGAATGGTAATTTAGTAACTATGACGAATTAATGTAATAAGTAAATGTTATCATAGAAGCCAAGTTGTAACTAAGTAGTAACTGAAATAGTGATTTGTTGTTATTTTATATATTCATAAAGAAGAGAATGGTTTAAATAAAGTTATCACATTGTATGCAATACATATCTATGGTTTCATTGAGTGTTCAAACTAAAATTGAGCTTCTAAACCACCATTGGTGTATATGAGCTCCAAGATCCTAAGGGAACAAATGGCATATGAATGTAATGTTGGTCTTCAGATATTATCGGAGTGGATTTCTTAACGTTGTTCAACTACCTTGTGGATTAGACCTTTTAATAAAAGACTTAAAGAGTGAATCCTCAAGAAAAATCACTTGTTTCGGTTTGAGCACTCAGGCAATAGCTCAACTCTTACACAAATTGAATAGTGAAGTGTTAATTCCTTACTTACATACTTACCCCTGTGACCTCAAATGAAGCATAAGCCGCCGACCAGTATTCTCCAACACATTCTATCCAATGGTTGTTTATTCTTCTCATGTCTGTCTCCATTTCTCGGTGTCAAGTGTTCTTTGATCTTCCTCTTCTCATTTGGCCTTGAGGATTCCATGTGAGGGTTTGCCTTGTGATGTAGTTGGGTACTTTCTTTAATGTGTGTCCAATCTACTTCCATCGCTGGGATCTGGTTTGTTATCTCACACAGTAAGTTGTTGTTGATAGTGTCTGGCCAACGGATCCGAAGTATTTTGCGTAGACAACTGTTAATAAACACTTGTATGTTCTGTTTGATAGCTTTTATAGTTCTCCAAGTTTCCGCTTCATACAGTAGAACTGTTTTGACATTTGCATTGAAAATTCTGACTTTGCTGTTAGTTGACATTTGCTTTGAGTTCCAGGTGTTTTTCAATTGCAGATATACAACTCTTGCTTTGCCAATCCGTACTTTCACATCTGCATCAGATCCACCGTGTTCATCAATGATGCTAACCAGATATGTTAAGGTTTTTACATCATTCATAGCTGCTTCGTCAAATATGATTCGACTGGTGTTGTATCGAAGAATCTTGCTTTTCCCTTTGTTTATATTGAAACCTGCTGCTGCTGAGGCTGATGCTACACTGACCGTGTACTCTAGCATTTGTTGTTGCGTGTGTGATAAAAGATCCAGATCATCTGCGAAATCTAGATCGTCTGGCTGCACTCTATCTCTCCATTGTATCCCGTGCTTCCCTCAAATGATAACTCTTTCATAATCCATTTGATCACCAGGAGAAAAAGAAAGGATGAGAGTAAGTAACCTTGCCTGACACTCGTCCTTACTTAGAACAAACCTGTCTTCCATCCATCATTTTGCAGTGTACTCCATCGTATGAATTCCGAGTGATGTTAATTTTCTCAGGTACACCATAAGATTTCCATAAGATTTTCCTATTCAAGCCATCAAATGACTTCTCTTAGTCAATGAAGTTGATGTGGAGTGCTGAATTCCATTCAGCTGACTGTTATACAATGGTCTATAGTGTTGCGATTCGGTCGGTACATTGCCGATCCTTACGGAATCCAGTCTGTTGATCACGAAGTTACGCATCTACAGAGTCCTTTATTCTGTTTAAAAAAACCTGTTGAAGACTTTTCCTTTTATTGAGAATAGAGTGATGCCTCTGTAGTTTTCCCACCTGCTGAGATCGCCTTTTTTTGGTATCTTGATCAGGTGTCATCCTTTTTAGTCTGTTAGTACTTGTTTTCCATACCAAATTTTGCTGAAGAGAATGTGAAGTATCTTTGTTACGTCTTCTTTCGGCGCCTCTGCTGAAATGTTGTCTGATCTCTCTGATTTGCCTCTCTTGATTAGTCTGATGGCCATGCTAATCTCTTCAATTGTTAGTGGGCCGACATTGACTATGAGGCCCGTGGGTGCTGTTTCAATGTTGAGTGGGTTTAGTGACGTTGATCGATTCAAAAGTTCCTTAAAGTGTTCTACACACCTATTTCACTGTTCCTCAATGTTGGTGATTACTTTGCCTTCCTTACCAGTAAGTAATAAAGTACTTTGTTTTTAAAATCTCAATGAATCGTCTCAAATTTCATTGTTCATACATTTTCATACCAACTGCTTTCTGTTCTCGTTTTTTTCATTCTCAATCTTCTACTGAAATATATTTTATTTCCGTCTATCGTTATATACTACTTATGTGGATTTAAGTAGCTCACATCACATATAACCAACATTTGTATTGAATCATATGGAGTATTTCTAGATTTTGAATTATACATTTTATCTTCAAGATCTTAATGAGTCTAATCATAATTCAAGTTAATTGAGAAATTATTTCTTTATTCAGTAATATATTTGATGAAAAGAAGTAAGTATATTGAAAATTTATTGATTTTAATCAAGAACTATACTTTATCAATTTTGAAATATTTCTGATCTTGGATCATTGTCAAAGATTTTACAACTTGTACTGTTATACAAGTTATTGGTTATACATAATCTATTACTTATTTGCGTATGTTACTCCTTGTGGAGAAGCATAGGACGTCCACTTGGACAATATATGCTTAAACTTATTCAAATGATACTGTATAGACTGGGTGTGACAAATTTATTTTATACAATTTGTGTATATTTCTAAGTAGAGATGAGTGGTGGCTAGAAGTGAAATTAAGAACGCATGTTTCGTTCTATTTGGAACTCGTCAGATGAATACATCTGCATCCCAAAGTTTATGTTCACTCCAGAATTCGAACCCTGTACTGTTCACTCTATACGTCATCACGTTATTCACTTAGCTACTGAGTCCAAATAGCCACAAGCTTATGTAGTGGCGTGAAGCTTGCTTGTGACTTCCCTAAATTGTTGTTCAAAACTGAAATTGATCAATCTTTTATTGACATATATAAATCTTTTGTGGATTGCCTAGATATTACATTCAATCAATCTCGATCCTAAACTTCAATAAGAAGATTCAAACAATCATTCTAGACTGAATGAATGATTGTGTTTTTCCTCCGTTTTTTTTTAAAAACAGCACTTGTATATTGCCCCCTCCTCCCTCATGTTAGTCGCACACACACACAGCTAATGATAAACATCTTCATAAATGAACACCTATTGAGTCGATGTTAGGAGGTGTACATACTTTACATACCATAGAATAATCAGAGCTATTTAGCGTTTATACTGAACATAATAATAAATGGATAATCAGAGAAGGATTTCCGTGGATATTATAGTAATTTTATAGTTGAATTCATGATTTAATTTAAACTAGACCACCATGGAAAACCTAGAAGCACTGAACGGCCGTTTCTTCATATCACGGGACTCTTGAGCAGTATGCATCCGCGATCCTAACTCGTAATTTTCGAACCCACGACCTATGTGTCTCGTGCCAGAACACTTAACTACTAGAGCACTGAGTTGGCATCCAATGATGTTAGTGTCTAACTTCAACTACTTCACGAAATCGAGCGACACATCCATCATTGTCTTCAGTAATTTACTATTTCAAAACAGACCAGGTTGAGCTCCACTGATCACTGCATTTCACTAGAACTCCATGAAATATCTCTTGAAGCCAGTCACTAGTGAGTATATGATGATTAGAATAAGAGAAGGGCTTTGTGGAGATTATGGTAATTCAATAATTGAATTCATGTGTGAATTGAAGCTAGACCACTATGGATCATGATTCTGTCATTGCAAAATGATCTGATAGTTAAAAAAATACTTTCACACTTCAGTGTTTTTAAATCAAAATATAATTTGATAGAAAAAATTTAGATATATCAAGATCTATTTCGGAAATTTGTGGAGATTGTACTAATTTCAGAATTGAATTCACAAGTCAATATATGTTAGACCATTATTGAAAATCTAGAACAACTGGATGACCGTTTCTTCCTAGTATCGAACTCCTCAGCGATAGCCAGCTACGGTCCCTTACGCGGATTGATCGATCAAAGTTAGATATTAACACTATTGGATGCTCGTTCAATGGTCTAGAAGTTAAACGTTCGTGTATAGGACCGAACGTACTGAGTTTCAGTCATATGTGCAGGATCATACCTGTGCACCGTTGAAGAGTACGATGATAGGACGAAACGGCTGTCATTGGTTTCAGGATTTTACTGGCAGTCTAGCTTAGATTGACTCGTGAATTCATCAATATCTAACAAGATTGAATCCATTTCATGTTGAGTATTAACATTGATCCGTGTGTAATTTGATATATGACTTTCTTTATAAATATATCTATGAACGTAAACTTTGATTAGATATGTATGTTTTGTAGAACATTAGGTTCAGCATTCATGTGAGTAATTTGTAATACATTGTATATTATGTAATCTATGTTTTTATTACATAACTTAACGTTTTCCTAATGGTTTCTTGATAAACATTCTATTTTGGGAAAGACTTCAGGTAGAGTTTTACAGTCATGATTCAATCATTTCGTTAGTTCTAGAGTTTTGAAAGCGTTTTCAACCATTGACATTGCTAATGAAAGACAGAATAGGAAATAAGGTTAAGGAGATTCTTTTAAAATGGTATATTTCAGTTCATGGAACTCAGGTATTCATTACTGTCTTACTTACTTACTTACTTACGCCTGTAATCCCCAATGGAGTATAGGCCGCCGATCTATCACAGTCTTTAGTGAACGTATTCCTGAAGGTTATAATGTTGATAGTCTCTTCATATTACACATACTTAGTTATGATACGTTACATTATTAGATACGTTTAGAATTTGTTCAAGTGTATCGCATAGGTTCATTGATGATAGTCAGTCAAGTTGCCATACAGCATTAGCACAGCAAGATGAACACCGAATTCATAGAAGCAGCTAATTCAATGATGATAATATATATAAAAAAAGATTGCATATAAGGACACAGATCAAAAAGAAAGAATCAGTTGATAGAAAGCAAGATATAAAGCAATTTTACTCTTATAGTTTAAGGGAAGACAGTGAGTGTATACACCGACGCCATTGTGATCGATTCTGAGCCATATCACCCACAATTTCCAATCACTGGTTACGGTTGTCCCGTGGACCCCAACTAAGTAATCCGCATTTACCAATATGGTTCACACCAGAAGTTAATGACTTCAAACACTGATGCCACATTTTGGTTTGGCTACCCTTAACTTTCGTTCAAACATCTCAAACACTTGTTAGCATTGTGCTATTATTATTTGAATTCAATTTTCTAAAGTTGGGGTGTTGAACGTTATTTTCGGCTTACTGAATAAACCTTTTGATAACTAGGATTGTAACTAAGAGGAATGGTGAGACTATAATTTATGGACAACCTTGAAAATGTCCACCTAGTAACTGGGACTAAACAAAGGTTATAAAGCCATGTGAGGAATTAGACTTATGATTTATTGTTGATGGTTAACATTGAGAATTCGATTTCAGGTTTCATTTGTGAATTGACATCAACTATAATGTCAAAATGCATATAAGTTCATATTGTTGTTGTTATATTACCAGTTTTTTTTACAGATTGTAGAATCTTGATTGTTAAGTGACAAATTGATCTTAGTTGGACTAATCTTTTGGAAACTAGGGAGGAGTAGGTAGATATTTCATTTTAGTTTAGAACTCCTAACCAGTATATATCTACGACCCTACCGGTGATCAAATTGAAGATTTTCATTAATGTTCAGTTCATATTGTCTCTATATTTAATGGTGAATCGTTCATTTAGTATACTGTGATGTAATCTGTGTGATATGTATCACATCAACTGAGTATCCAGTTTGAACGACAACAGAATCTTGGTCAACGGTTATAATTTGGTGAGACTATAATTTATGGACAACCTTTGAGTAACGCTAATATGACCTTGAAAATGTCCACCCAGTAACTAGCCAAATGAACCAATAAGTTTCGCTCCAAAATTCATGACCTATAAACTTAAATTTGATTGGTTCATCCATAAATGATAGTCTCATCATATCTATTTTAAATTGAATTTATTATTTAACTGTACTATTAACCTGATTTCTATTTGAAGTACACTGTTTTACAATTTATGGTAAGTTAGAAAAATATTTTTTTATTTTTCATTTTACCTTTAAACTAATTATCATATAAGTATCGATGTCAGAAGTGGGTGTTGTGGATATTATTGTAGTTTTTAATAGTTTACATCCAGACCTTTGAACCGGCATCCAACCGGTCTAACTTCAACTAATACACGAAATTGCGCCACCGTACATCATTATCTTTAATGAGTTATTATGACACAACAGACCCGGTTGAACTTCACTGATTACTGTTTTTCACTTGAACTCCAGGAAATAATTCTTGAAGTCAGTCATTAGTAGACATATGATGATTATTAACAAAGAGGAGTTTTGTGGATATTATAGTCATTTTAATAGTTGAGATCATGAGTTAATTGAAGTTAGACCACCATAGAAAGTCTGGAAGCATTGGATAACCGTTTCGTTCTGTTGTGAGACTCCTCAGCTCGAGACAAATGACATCGGGTATTATGTTGAGATATTTCATGTTTATTAAAGTAATTTGTTATTGATCAAAAATAGACATGTACATTTCAACTTCTTGTATCTATGAGGAAAGTACTTTCAAACGTTCTTTTAGTTGTTTTCATTCGTTACGTAATATATAAATATATCAAATGGATATTTTAGTATGAATTATGCAATTAATTGATTATTGAAAAGTGAACAATGTCATATTTCTTTAGTTATTAAGTGATGATACAATTTGATGGATGATCGAAATACGATAAGACTGAGGGTGGGGACAGTCAGATCTTCTTCATTGCCTTCTCGCGATGGGGGTGTTGTTTACAAAATTGAGAGGATGAAAAGAGAAGATTCGTCGCTTTAACTGGGTTGATGCACATAGAAGGTCCATCTAGGGAGCTGGGAAGTTCTTATTTCAAACCAATCGTATACATAGGCTTCAGGATCTTGAACGAACAAATCGAGTATAAACTAAGTATTGATAACCGATTAACATGGGACTGCATCTCCTTACGTTGCTCCACTTCCATGAAAATCAGACCTTTAGGTCGACCTCCTAAGAAAACCACCTCCTTAGGTCTAGGCATCCGGGCAACATCACACACTAATCAATCGACTTGTATGGCGAATATGTATTCGATACCTTTTTCTACCAATATTTATATGTTCAAATAAATAAATTAATAAGAGTTTTAGTAATTCATACTATAGTATTGCAAAAAATGTAATCTCCTTGTTTAGGTAACTTTTCAGCCTGACATTTTTTAGACAGTTTAAGCAACACTGTAGTGAACAACAATATAAAATGTAATGGAACACATAATCAGTCGTCTCAAACTAAACTGTTCTTCTGTTCCCACATCAATCATTCTCTATTCTCATTCACATTTTCTTTGAAACTTCTTAACCTTCTACCGTCATACATTTCACTTTGGACTAATAATACATACTACTTATATCCATTAACAATAATAGAATATACCACAATATACCAGCAAAATAATACATTTCCTAATGGAATTCTTCAGCAATATTCATCATCATCATCATCATCATCGTCCAAAGCATCATCATCATCATCATCTACATCGTTAAGTAACCAACTTAAAACTATTCAGATCATATAGATTTTAACAGATTTGATACACATTTCAAACTTGATCTTTTCTTTAAAAAAAAAAAACAAAAAAATAATTTATTTTTTTTTAATTTTTTTTTGCTTTGATTACATTTTCATTTTTAGGTATTGGTTAAAAGCATCATTGGGTTTACCATGAAGAATTAATCATCAATAAAATCAATTTTTTTTTGTTTCTATGTAACTTTATTATTTTTGTATTTTGTTTCTTTGTGTTTTTCTTTTCATTGCTTTTCTTTTCTTTTTTTTTTGTTGTTGAAAATTTTATTTATTTTTATTAAGATGTGAATATTATGCAAATGGATTATTATTTTTATCAGTCAATTTAATTTTAACAAGATTATTTCGATGATTATTATTGTTATGCTGTTCTCTCTTCTATTGAAGTTGAACAATTAAAGTAATATCATTTTAATAATAATAAGTATTTTGTTTTATTTAATCAATAGTCAATAGCTTGAATGATTTTGATCATGAATTAATTGATTTGAAAGTATTGATTGGTTGTTTACATCGAATTGTGGGATTTTTCAAGAGTATACATCTATAAGATTGTGTAATCATCTTTCATTGTGTTGAGTTAGTGGTTTTTGTCTCTATCTGAAACTGAAAACCTGGGATTGAAATTCAACTGGCAGAATTGTGGATGTACATTGCTGAAGAGTCGTACGATAAGACGAAACGGCCGTTTAGTACTTCCAGGTTTTTTAATTGTTGTCTAACATCAATCAGTTTATGATTTCAATCAATAACTTGATAATCTCTACAACCCTATAGTGAAATCTTGAATGGTTTACATGTACATATATATGGGACATCCATTGTTATGTAGGATTCAACGTACGACTTTTTGGTTCGAAGTGATGACCTTGAACAATCAAAGTAATTTTAGTAATTAGTAGTAGTAGTTAAATGTTGAATGAGTGAGATCATGAACTGATTAATGTTAGACTACAATTGAAAATCTGGAAGCATTGAACGATTGTTTCGTTCTACTGTAGGACTCCTCTGTAGTGCGCATCTACGATCCCGCCCGATTAACATACTAGATCATTGAGCTGGTATCCAATGGTGTTCATGTTTAACATTAATCAATCCACGAGGTTGTGCGACCATCTTCCATTGTAATGAGTTAGATATTTGTCTTTATCTCAGACCGAAGTCTCAGGGTTTCAATCCCACGGACGGGATTGTGAATGCGAATTGTTGAGGAGTCATACAATATGACTGATAGGTTTGAAATTATCACGAATTCACTTAATCTACGAACGAGAACAAAGACTCGGTGACCAAAGATCAATAAGTTAAATATTCTGATGCGTCCCAGTGGCGCTCACTATAGAAAGAAGTCGATACTTGGAATGGGGTGGTATATTCTGCAAACAGCCAGAAACGAGAGATAACAACAAAACCGTCCTTGGGGAGAGTTACCAAATAGCATACTAAATACACAACGGACCAATAGCATTTGAGATATTTCCCAAGTTGGAAATACGACATGAAGGTGACAAGAGTGCTTTTGGCGCGGAAACAAAGAAATTCAAATGTTCTAAATAAAATTACAAAATTAGGTCTTTTTCCAAGTGATTTCTGGGGATCTAACTTCCCTAACAAGGACGGAACGGCCGTCTAGTACTTCCAGGTTTTTAATGGTGGTCTAACATGAATCGGTTCATGTTCTCAATCAATAACTTGATAATCTCTACAACCCTATAGTGAAATCTTGAATGGTTTACATGTACATATATATGGGCCATCCATTGTCATGTAGGATTCAACGTACGACTTATAGGTTCGAAGTGATGACCTTGAACAATTAAAGTGATTTTAGTAATTAGTTTTTTGATTTATTTAATGAGTCATCAAATGTTGAATGAGTGAGATCATGAACTGATTAATGTTAGACTACAATTGAAAACCTGGAAGCACTGAACGGCCGTATCATGCTATTGTGGGACTCCTCTGTAGTGCGCATCTACGATCCTAATCGCTTAACATACTAGATCATTGAGCCGGCATCTAATAGTGTTCATTTCTAATTTCAATCAATCCACGAGATTGTGCTACCATCTTTCATTTTACTGAGATAGATACATGTCTCTATCTCAAACCGAAGGCCTTGGATTCGAATCCAGCTGGCGGGATTGTGGATACGCAGTGCTCAAGAGTCCTACAATAGGAAGAAATTAATTCAGTGGTGGTCTAACATCAATCGGTTTATGATCTCAATCAATAATTTGATCATCTCCACAACCCTATAGTGAAATCTTGAATGGTTTACATGTACATATATATGGGCCATCCATTGTCATGTAGGATTCAATTTTTGGGTTCGAATCCATATGTGTCAAATTTATAACATTTGGTACATTATTCGCTGGTTCAAATATCACTATAATGAACAAGAATGTAGATAAATACAACTAATTATTTATGTAAATTGTAAAAGCTGTACTCCATTTGTAAGTTTTTCATCAGTTGTCTTTAACTTTATTGTTCCTTTATCATCATAACGATTACTGTGTGTTTGTCGTTCTCTTCAACTCGATCTTCTATAGTGAATGGAAACACAAGTGAGATCAATCGAATGTGTTTTCGATCAAAACCATATAGTATTGGTGGAAAAGATATGTAGCTAAGGTGAATGATTTTGATGGAGTCTTGTTCTTCGAGCTGGATGGTTTGGTAGTAGAGCTTTCATCGTTCTTCTGAAAAAGTAAATTCTTCATTTGTAAAATGTCCATAAATCATCTCAAATTTCGTCTTAGATTTCATTGTTCCTGTAATTTCATATCAACTGCTTTTCGTTCTCGTTCTTCTACTGTGATACATACTATTCCTGACTATCGTCATATACTACTTATGTGGATATAAGTAGCTCACACTACATTTCTCAACCTTCTACTGCTAGCTATTTCACATCTGATCGATGAAACATACTATTGATATTTATCAAAATCAGTAGCATACACCACATTACTTGCCTCTTAAAACGATTGTGAACACATAATACATGGAATTTCGTAGAAAACAAACAACTTCATTAAGGTGAATTAAGTGTCAATCACTTACTACTCTATCTGTAATGAATTCCTGTGGATTAGTTTTTTTCAGGAGGGGGGAGGTGGGTATTAGTAACTAGAGTCAACTCCCGTTTATTGATTATACAAGCGATACTCTCCAATATCAATGTGAAATATTCGCTGATAAAGATATTGATTACTTACTTACTTACGCCTGTTACTCACAATGAAGCATAGGCTGCCGACCAGCATTATCCAACTCATTCTGTCATGAGCTTTCTTTTCTAGTTCCATCCGATTCTTGTTCATTTTTCTCATTTCTGTCTCCATTTTCCGGCGTAATGTGTTCTTTGGTCTTCCTCTTCTCCTCCTTTGTCATTGAGGATTCCGTGTGAGGGCTTGTTTTGTGATGCAGTTGGGTGATTTCCTCAATGCGTGTTCTATCCACTTCTAGTGATTCATCCTGATTTCTTCCCATGCTGGGATCTGGTTTGTTCTCTCCTACAGTAGGTTGTTGCTAATAGTGTCTTTCCAACGGATCTGAAGTTATTTGCGTAGCCAACTGTTGATAAACACCTGTATCTTCTGAATGATGGCTTTCGTTGTTCTCCAAGTTTCCGCTCCATACAGTAGCACTGTCTTAACATTTGTATTGAAGATTCTGACCTTAGTTTTGATTAAAGATATTGATTATGTTATTAATTAACTTTTTACCTATTTATTTGAATGATGTCATGGTATTTAGATTGGAAAGATTCTCCGAACACTAATTGATCGTTTTCAATAAATTGAGTTTATGAAGGACAACGTTTCTTGTTTCATTCGTTGTAACCGATCTATTTAACTGTACTTATTTACTTACTTGGGCGTGTTGCCCTTGTGGAGGAGCGTAGGCGGTCTACCAGTACACTTCATCGAACTTTGTCATGTGCAATCCTTTTCAGTTGCTATTCGTTTTTTTCATGACTACTTCCGAATCTTGACACAATGTTTGCATTAGTCTTTTTTTTTCGTTTCCTCTTCATGATTTCAACTCACGGCTTGCGTTGTGATGCCATTTGATGAGTTCCGGAATGTACATGCTATTCACCTTGAACGTCTTATCATGGTTTCTTATTTAAGTGGAAGTCGGTTTATTCTCTCCCACAATAAGCAGTTGCTGATGTTACAGCCTATTGTTAGATAAACGAACACTAAATTACAGGTAATTTCAAACGGCAACTTTTTTTGAACTGTTCTGTAAATATTAGCTGATGTTCAATATATGAATTCGGTTAGCTAGTAACAAAAACAGGTTGATGGTTCGTAAAGGAATCGAGGACGCGCATTTCGTTCTAGTTGGGACTCGTCAGACAGATGTATCTGCATCTAAGAGTTGATGTACACTCTAGAATTCAAACCCAATATTATTTGCTTCAAAAACTATCATGTTATCCACTGAGGTTAAGACTGAAATAGTTCAGCCTCTTATTGGCATATGTGCATCTTCTAAGGATTCATTCAATGTTGAAATAAATCACAAGCATTCTAAGCAAAGATAGATGCTAACCAGAAGAGGAATCCAACACGCGCATTTCGTCCTATACCTAAGTGGATAACACATTGATGCATGTTAGAGTGCATCAAAAAACCCAGCGAAGGTTTAACTAGCTAGAATCCGAACATTCATAGTTCAGATTACATCTGGATTTTAGAGGCCTCATAGGAGGAGTGTACTATTTAGTTTTAGTAGATGCATACTCGAAGTGACCAGAAATCTATCCAGTGGTGCCTTCAACGACTCAGAAGACGTTGAAACTATTAACGAATATATTTGCTTGCCATAGACTACAAGAGTCTATGGTCACCGACAATCGATCCCAATTTACATCTCGCGCATTCAGGGGTTTTCGCAATCGAAATGACATCGTTAACGTTTGCTCTCCACCATACCATCCACAATCTAACGATCAAGCTGAACTTATTGTGAATGCATTTAAAAGAGTCGTTTTGAAAGCGAAAGGAGAAGGATCTGTAAAAGAAGTCATCCAACGATTCCTACTCATATACAGGAGTACACCTGACAATAGAACGCCATAAAGAAATCCACAGACGAAAGCTCTATTACGACGAAATCTACGGACAATAAATGATGCAATGAAACCAACTAACAAGAAATGATATAAAGAAAACTTTTACATAAGACTGAAACATTTGTGTATATCCATGATTACAGATCTGGAAAAGAAGCTTGGGCAAGAAGGAAAAAATAGTAGATCAGAGAAGAAAAATCATTTTTGAAGGGGTAGTAGAAGGATAGAGATGAATACACAACAAGAAACAATTACGTAGAAGACCCAAAGAAGACCCATCCGAAGAAAACAGAACAACTTTCTACACACCAACCCGAATGTTTTTAAAAATTCAAGGTATATACCAAGCATAACACAAAGCGGAACAGAAGTAGAATCACAACAATCCCCCAAAAAGTTATTACCATGAAAAAGTAAACGACAGCAGACGAAGTCCTTTGAATTGAAAAGCAGTGAAAGAATCTCCCAAAAGAGGGAGGTGACAAGGTGGTTACTAAAATAGTCAGATTTTATTAGAATCGTCTAAGATCACTTTTGGAACGATAAATGATCGCATACTTTCGATCAAATCGATTTTCTTCATGACCTTTACCCTCTGATAGGTTGTCATATTATTTTAGTTTGCTAAATTGCTATATACTCAAAGTTTCATTGGTTAAGCCTAGTAAAAACGGAGACAAAATTATATCAAATGATACAGTGAATAAGTATTACAATGAAGTCAATTTAGGAACTACATAACTTGTTTCATTCAGCATCATGTCACTATTCAACAGAAAATCAACTTTATATTGATATGCTGATTGGATCAATGTTAGACCATCATGAAAAACCTGGAACCACT